TTTTCAGCACTTCAGAGCTCTAAACTGTGTGAAAATCAAACCTGTGAACTACCAGAAAAAAATGCTTGTTTTCAATTTGACTGCAAGCTGGCTGCTAATACATGATTGCAAGCTGAGTGTTACAAGACATTCAAAAAGAAACTAACTGCCTTGAAAAACAAGTGCTTATAAAAGACTGTATACCCTGAATAAAAATATTTTTTTCACTAACACAAGGACCTTGAGAAATCATCAGTCAGTAGCTTGTCTTCACCAGAGCCAGCAATGCTGGACAGATTTTGGTCATATCCTCCAAATAATAGCAGAAGGTGTTCTGCGTGAGTTATTGACTGGAAGAATGATCACCAGCAGCAACCAGTGACAGACAAGTGGAAGAAACTAACTCCAGGCAACTCTACCAATTTAGGCTTTAGAAATATGTCATGTAGCATTTAAAACTGCTAGAAGCATATAAACATCTGTTTGCAGGATAGTAACTGGAAATAATCCAGTGTCTTATGATACATCACAAGCCACAATAAGAGAAGAACCTGCTTCTATCCCATATAGAGTCCTCCTGCAAAAAGCTTTGTGGCTCAACTCAGCTTATCAACCTCCTTGGCATTTGAGTTCAAGCACATAGTTGTCAGATGTGCCTTAGTAAAAGGATTAAAATGCTTTCCTCAGCTAAATTTTACTGAGTCTATGGGCTCCTTCAGCGGTAAGCTACATATAGTGGCTGGTCTCTCCAGTTTTGCAAATAACAAAAACTTATTTCTGATGAGCCCTGCCCTTCCCAAGAGCTCAGCCCAGGCCACTCCATATAGACCTGTGTCACTTCGGACATAGCATGTACCTTGCTGTCATGTTTTCTCTGCTTTTGACATACTGTCCTTGCTCAGCTGCCTCAGGTTACTCCAACCCCAACAGCAGAGCTGCAGTTCTGCTCTCCCACCTGAGGCTGCTTTGCTCCCAGCTGCAATTTCTGTCATTTAGCCCTTGAAAATGGGACTGGGTACCTTGCTGATACCATGATACCATTCTCACTGCTGTGGGTCCTGGCCCAGTCTGAGCGCCCTATACTGCACTCCCCACCTCCCCTTGAAGATCTTTTCCCTCCCCTGTTCAGGGACAGGAGACAGAAAAACAGAAAAGACAATAGGATAAGTTCAGAGCAATTCAGTCTTCAACTCTGAAGATTAAAACTTCAGATTGCCTGCTTTCCAGGGTAGCTCTGAGACCACGCTGCATCTCAGGACCTCACCGACCTTCTTGAACAGCCAAACACTCAACCCCTTCTTCTGACACTGTTGAGCTAATTTCCCCAGCAGTTCTCTTTGAGCAGATCATTCACCACTGCTTGGGTTAACTGTGGGGTTGATTCTCTTCCCCTGGACACAGATATGACTAATGAAATATCTCACCATATGTCATTTTCCTCAGTGAGGTTTTGCTTTTTTTTATTATTTATTTACACCAAGCCAAAGAAACCACCTCTACTACTGTTTCCTTTCACAGCTTGTTTTTCTACACAACTGTGGTCATGTTTGCACAGTAGTATTGCTACAGAAAGCTGATCTTAAATGCCAGTTTACTCATCTCGAACCTCCATACATTGTCTCTCTGGGACTATTGCCGTTTTTTACTAAACCTGCACCTTTTTTCAAAAATGAAAATGTGACAAAAAGTGATCGACTATGAGCATTTTAGTTGCTAGATAGGTATCTAATTTGTTAGATACTATTGTCTAATTCCCTGACTCTATATACACCCTGGAGCTGGGCCTGTCCAGAGACAAAGACAGAAATGGTCTAAATGCTGCAGGGGACATTTAGACTTGGTCTGCTTGGTCTTGCTGCTGTCCCTGCACTCTGTGAAGGGGCAGCACTGCCTTGCCCGGGAAGGGGTGTGATGTGCATGGAGGTAGCTTGGCGCCGGGGCCTGCCCCAGCAAGGGGGGATATTGTGGTGACAACATGGCAGCGGGCTGCCCCTGTCGGCCCCTCCTGCAGTGGGTCAGCACAGCCCCAGGCCTTCAGCCACCACCAAGGCTCTGGTGGGAGGGTGTCCCTGTTCCATCCTGTGAGGAAAGCTGATCCTCCCTGAACAGTGCCCTGGGAGCTGCTTTAGGGCACGCGGGAGAGGGTGCTGGGGTGCAACTCTCTTAGCAAGGGGCTGCAAAGCCTTCATCATCCCTCAGGGTCTGCTCTGGTCCAGTCCCCGCCGAGTGAGGACCTTCCACCGGACCCTGATACAGACAGCATTGCATCCCCCCCCCCGGGGATCTCCCGGGGAAAGCCCTGCACATCGAAGGGGGCAGAGGGGCTGGCAGTGCTCCCAGGGCATGCAGCTGAGGGCCTGCCCACGCCATGGGCACCACAGGGCCTCCCGTAGCCACGGCAATGGGGACGTGGGCCCTGCTCGCCCAGGGTGTGGCGAGAGGGATGTGGAACCCCCGAGAGGGGACACGGGACCCTGATGGAGCTGCGCTTGTGAGGATGTTAAACAGGGTCCACAGTGGTGAGGTGACATCTCCTGCTCCAGATTTAACAAACCCCATGGCCCCCAGTTATAGTAACTGGGTGCGAGGTGCCATTCGAAGGGCAGACCAAGCTCCGCCAGTGCCATCTGTTGCTCACCTGTCTCCATCTGACATTTTTAGCACTTCAGGAATCTTATCTTAGCCTCTATGAAAGGATTGCATCGAATATACATCATCTGAAGTGCTCTTTGGTGTTTTCTTCAGTGATTATTTTTAAAACTAAAAAAACCTCACATGTGGATTATGTAAATAGAGTGGAAAATAATTACTGTGTTGTCTACTGAGGTGCTGTTAGGAGCAAGTTATACTGCATTTTGCAAGAAGCCTTTGAATCATTATTTAAAAAAAAACCTGACAAAACTAAAATAAACAGTCCGTTCAATAACTAGCATTAATTTGCAAGATGTATGAAATAGTCTTTAATACATGTACAAAAATTTTGAGCAACTGTACAAAGCCTTAGTCACAAGCATAATTTTATTCAGGTACAGGTATGTTAAGATTGCAGGGTCCGCAAGCCACAGAGACCCATCCCTCCACCAGCCACCCCAGTGAGCAGATTTCTCCCTTGGGCCTGGTACTCAGCATTTAACGAGTGACATTTGGAGGCAAATGGGCTCTCCCCAGTGGCAGGCTTGGCTTGGCTTGGCAAGCTGAGATCTCGGCAGAGCTCACCTCACAGAGGGAGGATCCTCTGTGCCTGGCTACGCTCTGGGTACACGCTCTCATCAACAGCAAACCAGCCCTGATCCCTCAAAAAACTAAATAAATGCAACAACAAAGAAAAATTCTCGTCTCAGCCTGTCCTCAGAAACCACAAGCTAACCCCATCAATCCTGCCTCGTAACAGGGCAATTTGATATTCCTCTGGGCATGCAAGATTGTTGACTTTCCACAGCAGACCCAGCTCTGCAAAACCAAAACAACCCTCAAGGAAGCTGTAGCCCTTCTTTAGCTAGAGGAGAGTAAAGCTCATAATTGCAACCCATTCTAAGCCATTACTAAACCAAATATAGTTCCTATTTGACTGATGTGAGGTTTTGACTCCCTTGCTAAGGAGTGATTTTAGATCAGACTCACCTGTGTCCAGATTGGAATGCAGGCATTGGCTTTATCCCAGATTAGCTCACCTTCCACTGTACAGCATAGAGTCACTGACCTGGAGAAATGAATTCTGCTGTATAGTCCTAAAACATCTGGAATTTGAGACAACACTAGCATGTCACTAAGATTTCTGCTGTCCCAAAAAGTCTAGTCATTTTGCACGTCAACCACATCGAGACCCACACCAGCCATGTCAGGATCTCTGACAAAGGCAGTAACTTAAAATCTAAACCTGGCTGTACTGTCGTGGGACCAATATGTTCTTGGAATAGGTAAGTCCACACATATACAGCACCTCACTTGTAATGCATTCTGCCACAACATTTCTGAAGTCTCTTCAGAACAGATTTATTTGCTGTAACTCTTGAGTAGTTTTAGCTACCTGAGTTCTTGGGCAGACTGTGCTGGGTTTCTGTGGTAGGGTTTTTGGTAGCGGGGTGAGGGGGCCACAGCAGTGACCCCTGTGAGAAGGTTCTTGAAAGCTCCCCAGCTCCAAGTCAGACCCACCTCTGGCCAGGGCCAAGCCAACTAGCAATGGTGGCTGCATCTCTGTGAGAACATATTTAAGAAGGGGAACCTCAGAGGGTGTTGGGACTTGTGAAGAAGAGTTATGAGAAGGATGAACACCCAGGTCAGTGGAAGAAAGGAGGAGGAAGGGGGGGAGGTGCACCAGAACAGGGACCCATGTATCTGGTGGTGAGACTGCAGGGCCGCTCCCCTGCCACTCATGGAGGTCCACGGTGGAATAGAGCCAGACCTGAAGCCAGTGGAGGACCACACGCCAGGACAGGTGCCTATGCTTAAAAGAAGCCAGAACTCTGAGGAGAGAAGCAGCCCCCAGTGTTGTCGTTCAGTGCTGTGAGGACTGCAACACATAGAGGTGAACCACACCGGATCAGCATGGGAATGGCTGCATCCCTTGGGGAGGACTCACACCAAAGAAGGTTCATGGAGATCTGTCTCCAGTGAGAGGGGAGCCACGTGGAACAGGGAAAAAACATGCAGTGTTCATCCCACCTCCTGAGAAGGAAGGAGCAGCAAGCTGACTGTAACCCCCATCCCCTGCCCCCTGCATCACTGGGAGAGCAGGTAGAGATGGGGAGCAGAGCTGGGCCCGGGAAGAAGGGAGGGCTGGGGGGAGGTGTTTTTGGATGTGGTGGATGTGATGGCCTTCTCAATGCCCTACCTTGTCTGTTAAGTGTTGTCTTTGTTAGCATGTGAATTAAAGTGATGGGTTTTTTTGTTCCCCTAATGAGTCTGTCTTGTACCTGCTAAGTAATGGGTGAGCCACCCCTCTCTTTCCTTATCTGGATTCCTGAGCCATTTTTGCTTCATTTTCTCCTTCCCATTCCAGAGAGGGGAAGGGGTGAGTGAATGGCTGCATGGTGCTTGGTTGCCTTCTGGGCTCAAACCAGGACAGCAGACCCAAGAGGATTCATAAGAGAACTGTAATTCATGCATATGTGGATCCATTGCATATTATTAAACAGTCCAGTTATGGTCTTCCTGAGCACTTACCAAAGCTCAGAACCAGAAGCCTTCATCTATCCCACCTTTCCTGAAAAGGTTATTTATCAAATAAATGAGCCCATACATTACATCTAGTCAAATGTATAATCCAAAAATACTGCTTTCTATCCTAAACTGCAAACACATGTGCAGGCTACCTCCATTTCTCTACATTTTCTATATATTTAGAAAAATATATATGTTTAAAAGTGAACAAAAAGGTAGAAATAGCTTTGGAAATGAGGCAGGTTTCTCCTTTCAGTGAATAAGGGAGATGATAGCTTATTCAGTTCAGCTAGTGCATCAGGTTGCTAAGACAGCTTTCAGTGACCTGTAAAGGAACAGCCAATCCATGCACAATCCCCGCTGGTAGAGGCTTAATTGTCAATGGAGTAAGTGTTGGTTCTGACCAAGGTGTTACGTCTAGAACTGTAAGACATATCTTCATATATTTCATTTGGTTTTCTTTTCTGGAAGCATTTCTTCACCTGCAAAACAAAGCAGACAGCTGTTCAGAACAGAGTTTGAAAAAACCCTAAGGAATCAATTTATATCTTGGGAGTCCACCTGTTTGAAGTGGAAATGTACTTTTAAAATTCTTCTAATAACCCAGTGAGGTCTTAGATGATTAGGTGGAAACTGTCAACCTGTTTATTTAACTTTCTATTGTCAGTCTGATGTAATTTCACTAAAAGTTCCTTCAAGACATGGACTACTGTAACTCTGGCCCTAACAGAAATTGATTTTGTCTTTGGTTTGTTTGTTACTAATAACATGAGGGAGCCGTTCCTACAGGGCTGCTTGGCTTTGCCAGAATTATGTTAGACTACTGTTCTTTAGCAGTACTGAAGCTATATGAAGGGACGAGTTAGGAACCTGGCTTGTGGATCATACTCTCTTAGTTTGGGGTAAATTTATGGAGCAGAAGGATCTATCAAAGACAAATACTTTCTGGGCACTTTCTGCAGAATGTGGATGTAAATAATCCCAGTAAAGGAAACATTTCTTGGTCACCTTTTCTTCTAGGACAGGGCAAAATTGTTATGCCACAGCCACTTTCAGACATTAGGCTATTTTATGACTTTTTGTTGTCCTTGTGTCCCCCTCCAAGCATTCTCTTACATCTATTACAAGATTGGTATATACAGCTCCATTCTCAACTGACAGGGGAAAAAACAAAAACAAAACAAAAAAAACAAAAAACAAAAAAACCCAAACAAAACACAAACAAACAAACAAAAAACAACAACAACAACAACAACAAAAACAAACAAACAACAAAAAAAAACAGAATAGTGAGGTGCTCTGTTCAGGGAAATACAATGAATGGCTGTGGTGTTGACCTACTGCGAGGTTTATTATCAAAAGGCAAACAATATCTCATACATTAAGAGTTACAGAATTGTAAGAAGACATTGTCTTTACTGCCAAAAATTTATGGCTGGGATACATTAAACAAGGGCAAAAAGGAGACAATAAAAAGCCATGATTCCTTAGGTTTATCAAATGTTTGCTTGACTCAGTCACTATTAACAAATAATATTAAAGGCATCTATCTATTCACTCAACCTAGATTCAGTTTTCCTTTGGCATGGTATCAGCATACTTACATCAACACGGTACAAGCAGTAGTATATCAGCGCAGAAAACAGTAGCACTACCACAACGATAACACCATAGAAGGCCCAGGAACTGTTACTGCAGTGTGTCTGCTCCACTTCTGCGTGCAAAATTATTATTGTTATTAAGAAGTAGAATTCTATTTTTATTATGAATTTTTTTAAATTACTTTTCAGCAAGAAATCAGGTATCAACAGCATGCTACACAGCCACATTTGTGGTCCCATTAGTATTCCCACTGACATGTCTCTGTGCTCTTCTAGAGGCTGGTGATGACTTCAGGTGGCATGTGAAGGGTCAGTGAGAAGCACTCTACAAAGGCGATAGCTTCCATACCACTGATCATTAGGACCACACACTCACAATGGAAACAGAAAGTGTTTTACTGCAGTATTACAGCAACACTGAGGGCTCAGCCATGAGTAATTAGGAATTATGTAATGTTCAGGTTTGCAAGCAGGACAGACAGAAGCAGGAGGCTACTGTGATCTGAAGTATATACACAGAGCAGAATAGTGCTAGTGGAAAGGGTTACAGTTCTCTAAAACCTCAATTAATCCATATCTGAATAACATATATATGGTAAACACCCCACTTCTTTGATGTGCAGCTGTGATTTTCCCCAACCCACCAGTTATGAGTAGCAGCACAGAATGAGACCACAGTCTTTTTTGCAGACTGAAGATAGATCCTTTGCAACTCTTAGGGCCTACGTAAATCATATTTTAATTACCCAAAGATCTCATCAAAGCCTGATGCACAGGGCTAAATTTCACCAATAAGATCAAAATCAGGCACTATATTGCTGGTTTTGTCTTCATCTTAGTAAATGGTCATACCACCATCCCACAGAAAAAGAAAAAACTCTGTCTTTGGAACATATGCTCACACTGTGTTCAGTGCATAATAAGGGTGTGTGAGATCATCTCTGCTATTATGTGTGGTACTTTAAATAAATGCCTGAGGACTTATTCTGTACTCCCTAGTGTGACCTATTTTTAAACACAGAGTTGCTATAGGGAATGGTTTCTAGAAGACATTTATGTCACATTAAGGTCAAAGAACTGGTGCTGAAAATACTGATTCATCTCATAAAACTGACAGATTATTCACAGACACACTGAAGTGTTTGTTGTCTGATTTTGACCTTTTTTTTTTGTTTTTTAAATTGTGGGATTATAGCAAATTTTCTCTTTGATAATTCCTCTCTAGTTGTACAAGGCAGGTAGAAACATAGTGCCCGTTTCCATGTCCTAGTACCACAGGGCACAGAGGAGTCTGAGCACATACTCCAAACTTTCCCAGGTATTGGAAGAAGTCTAGCCATGGATTAGTACTTTACCTGTCCTGACTAAAGTCTTGAAAGCTTTTAGTCCACCTTTTGTATTACAACATGCCTATAGTTATTGGTGATTAAACAAGCGAAAGGACGGTACCTTTAATCAGCATCATGGTGCCACTTCTATTCACTGAGAGGTGAGAGGAATTTTTCACCACCCCAGCACATACATATATATCACTGTCGTTTTTCTGTAGGTTGTGTAGAGTTATCACTATTTTCTTTTCTTGCTTTGAATACTCCAAGCGATTAGCAAAAGGTGGAAAAATAGTTGAAGCATTCTGACTTGAAACATGTAGCACTTTTTCAGGTTTCATGTGAGTCTTTAGCAAGTAGATCCCTTCATCTTCATGTGAGCTCTTCAATGCACAGGTAATGCTGATAGACTGGCCTTGCTGAGGATTGACATAGAGTGGTGACTGTTCAACAACTCCACTGGTTTTAGCTAAAAACAAGAGCAATTAATGTCTAGTACACACTTAACACAGTGTATTTTAACTAAAGAGCAAATACAGAGATCAAAGACAGAAAAAACAGACCACAGAAATTTCGATAAAATTATTTTCTAAAAAGCTACCTTTACGTGTGCCTTGAGAAGAAAGATATATTTCAGTACACCCTCGCATGCTTTCCTGCCCCAGGATCTGAAGGTAGGACTCACCAAACAGGTTTACCTGGTTGTAAAGGGTCCTCACCTACCTAAGAAATACATATATTGAACACTTTGAAGGGAATACAGCCTCATCAGCTTGCCCTTGAGACATGGATCATTGCCTGCTTTTTCAAGTGAGATTAAGAAAGATCTGGGGACTATTGGTCTGGATGCAATCATACAATGTGGGTGCCATCAATATTGAAAATGATCTGCAAAAAGCAACTATTAATGGCTCTCTGTCCAGCTGGGAAGACATTTCACTGAGTTCCACCAAGGACAGGCCCTATTCTTTCTGACATTATCCTTAACATGGATGAGGGAATTAAGACAGAATATATCATGTTTGTACAAAAGATAATTCTGGGAAGGTTACAAGCATTTTAGAGAAGAGGATCAGAATCAAAAAGAGGTGCAAGATAATTTAATGAAATAATTTGGAGAAACTGTACATAATCAACAAGAACAAATTTATTTGAGAAAACGCAGTCAAGAAGTTTGAAAAGAGAAGCCTGAAGAATGATATGGTAAGTCTTCATAGATACAAATGACTATTACTGACGCAGCAATCAATTAGGTTTTTCATGCCTTGGGGGCAGGAAAGGAAGAAAACCCTATATTTTTGGTAAAGATGTTTCGGGTTAGGTGGTCTCATAAGAAGTATAAGTACATAGTAGAATAAACTGCCAAAGAATGTTGTGGACTCAACCCTCTTCTAATGTAAAAAAAATAAAATTAAAAAAAAATATATATATATAAAGACAGGAAAATTCTTCCCCTAACTAGAAGTGACTGCCAAAGGGAGTACTTACACCCGTTCAACTGTTAAGAAGAGAAAAAAACCACACCTCTTTATCCATTGATGCCCAACTTGCAAACCCTGCCTAGCACCAGCTTCCCAATTATTATCAATTTGTTATTTAAGATGAAATTGTAAAAACAAAACAGATTTGCAAAACTGCTACCAAAAAAAAAGATCATTGCTTTGCCAGTTATGCATAAAGATTTGACTAATTGTTTTGGAAAGAGCTATGGGTCCTCACTGTTTCCGAACTGCTGCAGCAACCTGTGAATCATGTCAAAACCAGCAGCTAGGATTAAATTAGTCCTGAATTGATGTTCTAGGGGTTTTCTTGGTACTGTTCTATCTAATGTGTTTTCTTCATCTTTTCAGGGAACAGACCCACACTTGGATTCAAATCAATACATTATCTGAGCAGACATGGGTAAAGTTCTGTCAGACTCCCTCCCATTATGCTTTCTTCCAATCTTTGATTTAAAAATATATATCAGTATTTATTAATTCATGACATAAGAGATGGAATTGCAATACCTTTCACCACTACTATGGTTGTCTTCCCATTCAGCTTTTTGTGATGGCCTTGGCTTTTAATAAACTTAGTGCATAGATAGATATTAGAATCAGATTCCTGTACATTATGCAGAGTTATACTCAGGTTCCTTCCTTCCATTGAATAGGTGATGCGATTAGCCAAAGCAGGAAGGATATATGAAGTATTCTGTTTGGAAACATATATCACATTGACAGGCTGTATGCTAGTTCTCAAGTATGTTCCCACTTCATTTTCTGAAAACTTCATTGAGCAAGTTATGCTGATGGAGTCTCCTTCCCAAACACTGATAATGTCTGTTGACTGTTCATTTTCTCCACCTAAAAATAAGAAACGCAATTGAAATTATAGTATCAGAATTCTTGATCTATTAATATAAAAGTAATTTTAAAAACCAATATTCTGTCAACAGAACCGCTCTGTAGGTCTGCACCTTAGTCTTGCCATCCTGTATATATTGTCTCTTGGCTGTCCTGAAACCTATAGTGTCTTTCATGCCCACTGACCCATGCAACTCAAAGTCTCCACAAAGCTTAAAAGGCACTCGCAAAAAAAGTGACTTCTGTAACTTATGCAAAAAGTTTAGTCTGCTCTGTAAATTCCTGGTATGATCCTATCTGTTCTCGAAATACAAGCTTCATCGAACTCGGCCCAATAATTGGAGCTAGTTGAGGATCTAAACCTGGAATTCAAAGGTATTTTTTTTCCTTAGAAAGGGGGTTTTAGCAGCGTCAGGAAACTGGATAATGTAGCCTCTTCAGAAGAGAACTGCAGAAAGTATAACTCCAGCCTACCTACAGTAAGAAACAAAGGTATAAAAATATATAATGAGGCCCCGTGAGTCCTTTAATGACCTCAATATCAAAAGAAACTGAATAGTAGTACTTATGCAATGAACAGCAAAGGAACAGAGGGATCAAATGGGAAACACCTAAAAGAAATTACATTAAGAGTAAGGGAAAAAAATTAGAATATTGCCTATCTAGGACAAACATAGCATAGAAAGGGTGGAATTATTCAGTGTTGACAAGAAAATTAAGGATCCCTACATACTTAAACCAATTTATTTTAATAAGGAAACAAGCACAGAAGTCAAACGTAAAAAGATCAGATCATGGGAATTTAGATACAGTGGGTCAATCCAATATGACCAGACACAAGGACATTCCTTCTACAACACTTAGGGAAGAAATTAGGGCAACCTAGGAGGTGTCAGCAATTACCTTCCAAAGCAGCAGAAAAATGGGATGATGGAGAAGACTGGATATGCACTCAGCCTTTACAAGTGGGGAAGGAAAGCCTGGGAAATTAATTTGATCAGCCTAAAATTAGTACTTCTAAGATGACCCATGCTCACATCATTGAAGAACCAATACAGCTAATAACAAGCAGCCACAGCCCGTGCATTGTTTTCTCCAGAAGATCAGGGTAAAATTTCAAAAGTTAAACTGTATCTGCAGAAACCAGTATTGACTCCTCAACAACCACTAACTAAAGAATGGCAAAGACACTCAAAATAAATATTCTCACCAGTTTCACTTCATCTTCCTTTCAGAAATGATGATTTATGGACAATATTTTTTTCTCAAGTGACCATCCTTTACAGTTATTGTCAATGGTCATGGGGGGAAAAAAGAACCGACTGGACACATCTTTTTCCTCAGCCTATTCTCTTCATAGATTCACACTGTTTTCCTCAAGTGTGCCTCCAGTTTGTACTCTCAATAGCTACAACAATATTCAGCAATGGATATTTCCAGTAAGGTTTTATTACACCTTCAATACCTATGTCCCTAGTAATCAACATTAATTTCTATCCAGTAGTGGGCTCCCCCTGTCAACCTTAACAGTACAGACATAGTTCATGTTGAACTACTGGGAAATCAACTTCTGCTCCTTCTACAGAGTAATTTCTGTGTAGAAAAGTTCTGATCACAATTGTTTTCCTTTTTTTTTTGTATAAACTCATTCTATAATTTCAGAGAATGTTTTTCAAATTTCCAACTGGTTTTGGTAATGGTAAATTTGCCAGGAATCTGTTTGAGATGATAGACGAAGATTTAAAAAACAACAACAACAACAAAAAAACATAAAAGAAAGAAAATAATGAAACTTGCAAAATGTAAGAGCACTTATGTTGTACCTACCGTTCTGGCCAGGAAAGCATGGGAGAAGCAGAAAAAAGAGAGATGCCGTTGGGAGACATGATATCCACAGCATTTTCAAAGGTCTTTTTAGTAGTTCTCTGTTATCCAACCAGTGAGTTAGACCCAAAGAAAGGGTTACATGCCATAAACTGGCCTGTTTTCTTCCAACTACATCAGCTGTCTACTAAAAGAAATTTAGCAATGTGCTTTGTTTGCCTCAGTATCACAATGAACGTAGCAGAGAGGGGCAAGAGAGGTGTCTCTTGAGATGCATCTTGGTTTTGTCTTCACACTTAAAACGCCCACGGTTTCCTACTACTGAATAACCCCCAACCCTGAGAGCAGGATTAGAAAGTTTCTATAATGAACACCTACTTTCCTTTTACAGTTAATTGAGAAAAGATAGGCTCAGAGTTGTTCTTCACAGTGCCAAAGTCAGGCACTTATATCCCTGTTGTGGCCTTACTGGAAATATATGCACTTGGTACAATCAATGCAGTCTGTCAGTGTGCCCACAGCCTTGGCAGGCTTCCTGGTTGGTGGCTACAAATGCAGAAGTCTTGGCTTCATAAGGAGCAAGTAGATGAGAGATGCTACATTACTTCAGGTAAAACTTAGATTATTATACAGACCCTGCTCACAAAACTACAGGTTTGATCTGCATCTTGGCAATGACAAGGTGCATAATTTCCAAACAGCAACATGGTATGTACCTCCTGCCTGCCTCCTGGCTTCACATTGAATAACACAGTCTGGATGTAGCGTCTGCAGTACATGAGATCTGCTAAGCACCAGCAAAAAGGCATCTCAGCTACAGTTCACATGCAGCTCCTGCTTGCTCCCTTGTATGATGAAAAGCTCTTCTTGCAGTCGCTGTTCTCTGTGTGAATACATAGGTAAAGAGGGTGTTCTCAAAGAGTTTCTTGAATGCTTGAAAGCTTAGAAATGTCACCAATTATTGTAAAGAAAACAGAGTTCAGGAAGGTTGTGAAATGAGCTTTCAATTAGCACTACAAAGGCTACTGGATACAAGAGCAGATACCAGGAGACACCTCTTATTTTCTGTCTTTAATTTTGCAATATTTAAGAAGTGAGTCATGACAATAATTGGATTATGAGTTTAAGAATCATGTGATGGTGATGCTTTGTAAAGGAGATTAATTTACCAAATAACAATACAATGAACACAGCGTTACCAGTGAATAGCCCATTTTTAGGCTGACGTTTTATTGTGATGAGTATAACAACACAAAATGAAACAAAAAAAAAAAACATTAAAATGAAATTACAACCAAATGATGGCATCTGGTGAGTCAGACTGCTTAGTATCTTTAGTCATTTTTTTATTATGTTGCAAAATAACACAATTCAGTTGCTTGGAACAAACACTGCAGATCTTTAAAGCTATTTATAACATTTTTCTGTGATATCTGGGATGATTGGTGTCTACCAGCACAACACAACTCAGGAGACACAAAGTGAAATAGGTGGTAGTGATGCCTCTGAATATCACAATCTGCATAATCGTATGTAGAAAGAAGAGATGTAAATGAAAGTGTGCTTGAGTGAGTCATAAAGATTGGTCTATGACTTGTGAATAATTTAGTTAAGCAACTTTCACTGGGTAGAGGTGTCCATATAAACTTTCTCCTCAAAACATGTCCAGCTCTCTGGCCCCAACTGGTGTTAAAGAGTAGAAATTAAATCTGCACATCATGAAACCTGAATGCCTCAAGTTAATACAATGTGAGTTCTCAAATATCACTTTGTCCCTTTTCCAAAGAACTCAAAACCTGAGTTTATAGCAGAACTACCCCGTGTCAGCCATTGATTTGAACACCATATATACACACGCACATAGATTTTTCCACACATACACATAGACATATTTGTTTTTCTCATTAAAAGACCATACCAAAAAACAGCCCTGGCCTTCAATTTTAAGACAGTATTATTTTAGAAATAGGAAAATAATGTATACATCACTGGAAATCTCCAGAAGCACAGTATTCAGCTTGATTGTGTAAAGCTGGAGCACTTGGCACTTCCTCAAAGGCACCCACAGTAATGTCCTACAGCAGAGGGAAACAGAACCAAGAGCAACACCTGTGATAGCTGCAATGGGGTCAAAAAGTGAAAGGCCCATACCCAATTGGATTGCTCCTTTCCCAGGCTACAGCAGCAGATATGTTATCTTTTTTTTTTTTAAAAAAAAGGATGTTTTTTTTCCCCAAACAAACCTCTTCATCCTTTCAGACACAGCTCTACTCTGAAAGCTTACAGCAGTCTTGTTCTGGGAAAAAACAGGAACTGCAATTGTGCTCAGATGCTGTATAAAGATGTAAAGTCTTTTTCCTTCTATCTCTAAGTCCTTGCACAGGCTGGACTTTGCACAGGTGTCCTGGGTTTGAGTGAGTGGTTGCGTAACCCTAGCTTTGGTTTAATCAATAAACATGTTATAACATGCATCATGATATAAGAATTCACAACTGTATTGGTCAAAACAATATAATCAGTAAATACCTAAACGCCTTTGAATAGCTGGGGATTGCCACCTCTTCATGAAGTTTTGACTGTGTTCCACCGTATTAAAATTGAATAGAGAAAATTCAACAAATAAGCTGAGAGTTGAGTTAAAAAGATATCTTAGATCAGCATGAATGTAAAGCCCCCACTGGGGAGGGAAAAACCACAACCTATAACAGCACTAGTCTCCTGTGCTAAACAAGAATCAAATTTAAGCACAGAGGTTTTTCTGTATTTCTAAAATTAATTAATAACATATTTTTGGAAGTCTTTCATTGTGAATTTTTCCCTTTAGGTTTACTTGTAGCAAATTTCAAGAGTCATACAGCATCTTGCATCCTTTGAGATTTCCTGCTAGAAATTTCAGCTACAGATTTATGGGTAATTAACCCATGTAAAAATGATTCAGCAAGTATTCATACTGTTCCATGAATCCACTTTTCCAGTTGTACTGCTGCTGATTTTTGCTCTAAAGCCTGCTACTAGCTTAGATCTAATGCAAACTTTTGAGAATTTATTCAAATCAAGTGTGAATGATAAATCATTTGAAGATGACGTACCACCTGTGAACTACTAAATGGGGATCCCTGAAGTGCAGTATTCATCACATACTGTTTGCACGTCAGATACCCAAACCTGAGTTCAGATGCAGAAATATTGTAGTCTTTTCTGATAGAGAAACAGAGCAGGCACGTCAGTATGCTTTCGTATCCACTGGAGTCACTTCTGAAAGTGTCCTACACTAAAATTGACAGTATTATGACCTAATTTGTCAGGGAGATTGATATCATACTTTCAATTCAGCCTGGGAGGAGGCTATGGCCTCCATGATCTGATGCCATTTCTGAGGGAGTTGGGTATAACCCTCCTGTCCACCCCTGCACAGAAATGAGCACACAGAGATGTCCTCAACCTGCAGGTGGCTGCAAAATCAAATGTCTGTTCAAAAGGCCAAGCCCCTCTAATTCAACTAACCAGTTACCTGTACAAAATGCTTTCTGGGATCTGGAGACCACCCGGGAGTTAAAAAGATAAAAACCTATCAGCACGCTATTGCGTTGTGAAATGGAAGACATTCAGAGAGCATCTGCCTCAGGGTTCAACACATGCTTGCTGAGCACAGATACAGTTCTCTGAAGAATTTCAGATAAACTGATGGTTTCAATCATGAAAACCATTGAGAGAATTCAGCTGGTTTAAACCTGTGCTGCTGAGTGAGCCACACATCTTGCAATGACTGCTGTCCTCAGAGAAGCACCAGGAGAGGACAGGAGATCCAGGGAGCTTCTCATGCTGCTCATGAAGGCCTGGGGCTGGACAACTGTGGCAATCAGTCCTCAGTGAACGCATGGATTTGCTGAAGGTACATTTGTGAAAACTAACATAAGGTCTCATATCAAATGGTCTCTGTTTCTTCAGCTGAATGCTGTACGTCATTACTGAGGAGTATGCTACTGACATAGAGGCCTGGTTTTCTCACATGTGGATGTTTTTCCAATAGGTGTGAGGTTTCACATGTGAGAATCCCATTTGTTTTTTCTAACCGCTGTAGAATTGAAGGAAAGACATCTGTGAGGCCAAAGGCACAAGCTGATTTCAGAGAATTAGAATCCAGCTGCCTATATTTAGGCACGGAAATCTGGAGTGCGATGTCCTCAGGGCAGCTACACTGTCCCACCTGCTACCGCACCACTTCTTGCTCTGAAAGGTGAAAGGATTGAAGCTTCATGGCCCAGTGAGTTCACGGTGTCTCTGCTGAAACCCTGCCCTGATTGCCGTGGCCATCAGCCTTTGCCTTAGGGGGGCTCTAGGACAGGCCTGAAGCGTCACTGAGCATTACGCCACAGGGCAGGAGCTCAGGGGAGCCACTGGCAGTATCTTTACCTATCACACCATCATATTGATTATTATGTCTTAATGTAACAACTGCACTGAGACTAGTGTTGTGTTACCTTTAGTGGGTTGTGCAACTAATGATTTTCAAAGATAGCCTTGAGTTTTATCTAACTGTAGATGTTCAAACATCTCAGCTTGTTCCTACTGGCTTCCTTTAGAGTTACTAGAGAGAAATAAGCACCTTCATAAGGTAATTAATCTGTTTCATCTTAAAATCATTTTAAGGTAAAATTAATCATTTTCTCAGGACAGCTATTTATCTCCATTTGCTTCAAAGGGATCACAAGATAAAAATTTTAGGCTTTAACTAACTTCTAACCAACAAGCTAACCTTGAAAAAATTCAGATTTAGAAAATTAATTCTTAGATTCTTAGAAAGAAACAACCAACATGTTTCTAAAGGATGGACTAGTTCAGTAACTGTGGAGATGTCTCAGCTTCTGGTGTTATACAAGGTTCCATAAACCCTAGAGACAAGCTGGCTACAGGATATAGGAGGGAAGCCGTATGTCAAGGTCAAGGGATGTCTGTAGAAGCGTGTAAATGATCAACTCACAAGTACTGGAACCATTGCAAAGTCATGTAGGGGCTAAAATCTATTGACTCAGACTTGATGCAGAGAAGAAATGGGCATCCACTGAACATCATCCTCATAAACACATCTAGTCACTCACTGAACACCCTTCTGTCGTTGTAGTAATGTGATTTCATAATTTACCATAAAGAAAACCCCCCAAAGTCAAATCTTGGCAGGTGCCATACTCTGCCATGAGACAGAACAGTTGCATCCCACATTCTATACTCTGTTATAGCACAAATATTTCTGAAATAAAAGGTGGTTTAATATTATCTCACTTTAAGAATAATGCAGTCTCTGTGTTGTGAGGAAGGAGGGAATAGCAGAGGGCAATGCAGAGCAAGGCAGATATTTCCAGAATATTTTATTCACGTGATGCCCTATTGACTTCATAGAGCCTAACGGAGCCCTTTCCATGCTTAATAGTTTGCAAAACAAACTCTCCCCTTGGACTTATTTAGGAAAATATTCTTCTTTAAATTAAAATTGGCTCTTTAGTGGACAGACCTGTGCATGGGAAGCACTCACCTAAAGGACCTGTCACAGCCCATGTCTGGATGTTCATTAGTCTCCTGGGCTGGGATATGTCTCTGGACGGGAGGCTACACAGCAATATTACAGTCTGAGATTCCTCCAAGGAACTGGATCCCACTGAGGTAAGGTTGAGCAGTGCCATTTCTTGGCTGTATTACTGTAACAGTGAGGAAATGTATTCTGTTCTTATTTTCACAACAAAAAACAGCTGACTGGGAACTATGTCATGGCACCAAATGCAGAGCTGAGGTTCATACCATCTGTTAGCCCAGCTTCCCCTTCACAATGAATATCTTTTAGCAACTTCATAAACAATGTTATTGAAACAAGATCCAGAAAGAAAACCCCGTATGCTTTTTCCACTACCAGTGCTGTTTGCAAGGTGTGTTACCCATAGGAAACATAACATTTTGTCAGGCTGTACCTTGACCATTTCGGTTCCGCCGAATGCAATACATCGTCAGTGTTACTCCACAAAGCCCAAGAATCAATATAGTGGTGATGATGACAATGTTGCTCTTTTTGCTGATTGAAAATTGAGGATCACCTGGAGAGTAGAAAAAAAAAAAAATACAGTCCAAGTGAATCAAAACAGCTGTGTCAAGAAATGAGCCTGCCTCATAAGCAGCACCTAGGGAGAACTGGGTCTGGTGCTTCTGCAATTGACCACAAAAGCTGATAATGAGAGAAGGAAGTAATAAATGAGAGAACAAATAGACTCTGGCTTACGATATCTTAATGAAGATACCTGTAACAAAAGAACAACTCTATCAATATTCAAAGCTAATTCTCAACTCCCCACTACAACAGATACCTTTGAACGTCTATCTCATCTGAAATAACAAAAAACAAGAGGTGAGAGACCCATCCTTAATGATGGGTTCAAAACCCTCTAAGAGAATCCATTTTGATCAGTTTTTAAAGACCTCAATGTGCAGGGATTTAAACATATAAATATCTAGACAGGTTATTTTAATACTGTTCTAATTTGAAGGAAAAATAATAGAATCATCCAGCATATGTTTAAAAATTACCAAAACAAACAAAAAAAAAACAACCTCAAACAACACAGCAAAAAGCAAAGAGCCATAACCCTACCAAGGACTCTCCCCAGAAGAGGATAAGTAGTGTTTACTTGTCTCAAGCAAAGATGCCCTGTTTGTCCAGACCTAAGGAAGATGACAGGGATTTCTACAGTGAAAGAAATTTGAATATAAAAAAAATACCTGTGTGTGTCAAATGTCCTCTTAGTCTGGAGGTGAGGTCTCATTTATCACTTACTGGTAAGTAGAATTCTTGGAAATTTGTTGCATGCCCATCATGTATCACCTTCCCTCAGCATCCCTGTGTCTATAGCTATATAGCTACAGCTACAGAAACCTATATCTCTGGATATATATGTCCAGGACTGAGCATCCACAAGAGCTAGGGAAAAGCCTCTGAGTTTGGATGGCTACAGCATGTATGGGTCCAAGGTGTGAACGTACAGTGCATCTCCTCACCCCACCCTCCATGTAAAATTCTATTCACATCAAGCTGTCAGGGCAAAACTCTCTCAAAGCAAAGGACAAACACACACTTGAAGAGATTAACCTAGATTTCCTTCAGTGATGTCACCTGTTGATTTTTCAGTTTTATCATCCGACACTTCAGTGTAGCACTTCAGTGGAAGGTTGGGCACTGAGAGGTTTGTCTCTGCTTCACAGCAAGTTTTAATCTTCTCTATAATGATGTTACCCTTCCAATTTTCTGAGGAAACTGAAAGATAAAAGAAGCTTTAATTATAAATATGGATCACTTATAACATCATCAAGGACTAAAAAGGTTAAATAGGTTAATAAAGCAGATCTTCCATGTACCACAAAAAAATTGAGATTGCTACAATCATGTTTAATTCACCAATTGTTCAGATCAACCAGCCATCACTTATATTTGCTTCTCACTAAAGCTGATAAACTGTTCTGTGAACCAATAATAGAAATCTCCAAATTTGAAGGCGGCAAAAAAGTTTCACAAAATAAAAAATTGTAAAAAGCTTATCATCACCTTTTTGCAATTAAAAATCTATTTAAATAGTAATTATGACAAAAGTTCGAAACTCCTATTTGCCCACAGGAGACTAAGAAGAGGAACAAGCAAGACTAGCAGCCGTATAAATCTCAAAGACCCCAGAATGCATCTCCTGCCTAGCCTGCATGCCACTGTGCCATTATGTAACTTATTCCTCTTCTAAGAGGTGAGAGATGTAAATTATCTTGAAAACTCCTTCCTACCTACACATCCCCCACACAGCACATCTGCCTGTTACCCTCTCAAGATATATAGGCATCTAGGTCTACAGCAGTTTTCAGTTTTCACTATGGATGTTTTAGTGCCATCCAAGCTTTACTCAGTAATAACAGCATGTAGATGTTTTGCAGTGGTAAGCATAAATCCAGCAGATAAATGGTTTACAGTGGTCAGAAATTAAATATATGATGAATTGTTAGACTGAACAAAAGCATATGTAGGTTGAGAACTTTTTCAGCAAGAAGCTTAGAAAGGATGTGCTAAGTCTAACAAGAGAGATGATGAAAGCCACTTTCAGAGAATCATCTACAGCCAGGAGGGCAAAACCAAATATATATTCAATCAGATGGTAACTGGTGAAATGCCACTGACTTGAATGGAGTTCAACTAAATTACACATGTGTAACCTGATCCATCACAAAGTTTTGCCCTCTAGGAGCCACTTGCTGCATGTACTGAATGGCATTTTCACCTCTGATTTTGATAGTTTTCTGAGAAAACTGGAAGGATACCTCCTGGTTATTTACTGAATTTTACAGGACAGCAACACAGAATGGGTCTTTAGGCTAGACCTGGATTTCAGTGTGTACTGACTGAAGTGGATGGGATTCATACATTGCAAACTGGCACAGATTTTGACCATGAGAATTGCTGATGCCAACCCCCCCCCCATCTTTATAAATCAGGGTAACATGCATTTATCTGATTTTCTATCAGTGTAGTCTTAAGCAGTGTTTGACTTGAGAGAATTTAATTTATTTCTGTGAATGACTTAATGACTTTTTTTCACAAAAGAAACTCCTTTTGACAAGTTAGTTTACTCATTAACCTCACTGTCTGCCCAAATATATAACAGTTCAGTTTTATAACCAGAAATATATTTTCCATATGTTGATAGCCAGGTTCCCAGTGGAGCATACCTCCAGAATTCAGAATGCCACATGAGTCTCCTACTCCCGTGGCTTTCTCCCAGACGATGGCATAAATTCCTTCAGGAATACTATTTTCTTGCTGAAAGCACATAATTATGTGTGTTTCACTGGTCACCAACTGAATTACTTCATTTGAAAATTTCTCATTCTGTGTTTCACCAATTTTTACACAGTTTTCATAATTGGATGATTGGCATACATTGCTCTCCCAGTCTTCACAGTGGTAGACTGCCACATATGTTTTGTCAAAGGAATAGTCCGGTGTCCCCTTAGCAGGGTCATCACTGGGCATAGCAATATCTAAATGAAAAAACAAAGAAAAATTATTTTCTACCAGTTTTCTCCCCAGACTTTTGGTGTTAGAGAATGGGATGAGTTTTGGTGGAGAAACCCAACCATATCTTAGGAAACATTGTCTGCCAATGGGCAATTTTTATATGGTTCTGGGCCCAGTCCCCAAAATAATTTCTGGGGTAGAAATACAACATAATTCCCCCACTGCTGCCACTGGGGTTTTAACTAGGAACCTGTCAGTTTAGGAATTGAGTTGAAAGACATTTCTCCTATTGAGCTAAGAGGTTCTCTGCCCAGACAGGCTCAGATGAATCATCTGTTCTTATTTTGTTTCCTTCCCAAATTCCTTGGCACAATCCTATCAGGCATATCTCCAGCAGCCATCCAGATCCCAGGACAAATTAAGTTCATGGTTGAGGTGCCAGACTACATACAGCTGGATGCAGTGCCCCATGTCACTGCCACTGATTCAGTTCAGTATTCCTGCAGGCAACAGTTTTACAGCCAAGCCAAAATGCACCAGCAGCTTGGCTGAAGTGCTGGAGTATGCTGGGGCTGGGTGCTGAGAGCTGACAAAGCTGTTCTACTCATTCAGACTTCCCTGGTAAAGAGACAATGTTTTGAGAGGACTCACCTCATCTGACTTCAGACAGATCCAAAAAGTTACCCTTCCCAAATTAGGTAACTGCAACAGGTCAAATGAATCAACCTCCACCTTCTTAACTTCTTCTCTCATTTTAGTGGTTTTGCAGTCTTAGTTTTAACTGGACACAACAAAGCTTTCTAATAACAGTTTAAAAGTTTTTAGCTACTAACATGCAGTGAAAAGCAATGAGATCAAACAAGGAAGCTCACTTGGACAGGGAGCGGCAACAATCAGAATCAGGAAACTGAACCACATGAAACAGGGAGAGTCCATCAGTCTGTCCTGGGTGCTCAGCTCTGACAGTGTTGGATGCTCTCCGAGAACCTCCATGATCCCAGGGCAGGCTCACCAGGCTCCTCCCTCAGTCATCTTCCTGTTTGGACATTAAATACAGTGTTTAGAATCCATCATCTTTCTTATTATTTTTCTCTAGTCATAAAGAAAACAACTTCCAGGCCAAGTGCATAAAGATTCTTCTAGCCAAGATAGCTGGAATACAGGCAAAGAAACCCTCATGCTGCTCAGCTGCTACTGCACTCTGAGATGACTTTTGCAAATGCCAAACTTACACCCCTTTCCGTCTCAGGGTCAGTCATGGCAACAGAAGACACATAGTCTTTCTGCAGGGAAAGGGAAATCCCTCCTGAGCCTGCTGAGCAGGAGGCTCCATGTCCAGGTCCTCCAGGCTCCTCAAGGTAACAGCCCTGCACACATCACTCAGTAGTACATTCGACAAATAATGGCTTGACTGTCTATCATTTCCAAAACACACGAAATATTAGACAAGGAAGATGTTTTGTGCTGAATTAGTGTTTTCCTTGACCTAAAACGAATTAGTTACTGTCAAATAGAATTTTATTTTTAATTTATAAGACCTGATGGGAAATATCTGTTCAAGTTAAATGAACAAACAAACAAAAACTTAGTATTTCTTTACAAAAAATAACTTGGATTTAGTCAGAAATTCATCCTCAATTATTTCAGTGAGGCTATCATGAATTTGTAAAATATGTTTTACTAAAACACAAGTTTCACTTTCCAAAGGAGAAAAAAAAAAATCTGGAAAATTCACCTAACTTTCTTCACTAGCCTAGCTCTGGAAAACACAAACTACTTTGCCCCTGGGAGCTTTTAGTTAGAGGCTTTCATTAAAACAACTTTTTTGCTATGTCAGTACCTGAGAAGTACTTGGAGGGAGTTTCCAAATGAATTATGTATTAATTCCTAGTTATGCATTAATTCTTTACCAGAGGTTAATAATTGTTTGTCTCTCGTGATCTATGCTAGTCTACAGCTGCTGAGAGTCCCACGTCAAGTCCCAGAAACAGATGAAACAGGAGCAACACAACCCACAAACGAGCCCTTTCCAGCCTCTGACAGATACAGGAGGCAATCTTGGAGACTGTCTGCAGAATTTCCTGTGAAATAAAATCTGGGGCCCCTCCACAGTGCCCCAAGCTCTCAACATCCCCCCCGTGGGGCCCAAGCCCAGCAGATACCTGCCCAAGCCCAGGTCCTGATGCTGCTCCACCCACACCCACTTCCACTTCACACCACACGAGGGACCAATTCTTCCATTTTATGCAGAGTTCTCCTCACCTATACAGTCTTGCAAGAATTTCTTCTCACCCCACCAGCCATTAATCACACTGAGAGCATCAAACTGCCTCAGCATCTTTTCCCATCCTCTTTCCATATATCTAAAACCAGTTCCTATCTTTTCGATTTTATGGGGTTTTTTTTTTGTTTGTTTGTTTGTTTTTTTTTTTTTTCAAAAGCAGATCAGCCAGTGCCTTTTCACACATTACTCACTTTATCCAGTTTCCTGCTTTACAAAGTACCAGTTATTAATGCCTGTCCTGACCTGCCCTGTGGGTGAGCAGAGTGCTAGGGGACTGTTAGCAACCTTTGAATCACTCAGTCATAGAATCATTTAGGTTGGAAACGACCCTTAAGATTGAATCCAACCACTAACCTAACGCTGCCGAGTCCACCACTAAGCCATGTCTCTAAGTGACACATCTATACAACTTTTAAATACCTCCATGGTATTATATGTCCATGTCCTCCTCGGAGTATGTTCACCAGCCTGATGCTGTCCTCATAGACCAGCTGCAGCACATCTGACAGAGTTATCTGACCAAAGGTTAAGAACAATAAACGTTTTATTTCCCCAGTAGTTTTCAGCCTGAGGTCTGTATCTTCTGTCCTTGTTCATTCTGTCTTCTCTTTTGTGGTCATCTTGCCTCATCCTTGTTTCTTCTCTCATTCTTCTCAAAGGACATCTCATCTCCTCTTCTCTCTGGTGACACTCCTTCCTACTCCCCTCTTCCCTTCATTAGCAAAAGCCAGAACACTGTCCACCAAATCTCTGCCCGCTCCCACTGTCTTACAATCCTCTTTTTTGGCATGTTTCTGAGAATCTTCAGCTGTCTTGGCCACCCCCTGAAACACGCTCTATGAAATATTTTTAATCAAGTTTTTTGCCTGCTTGCCTTTCTTCTCAAGGTAACACAAACTTTCATTTTTCAGGGCTACTGAAGTTGGAAGCAATGCCAGACAATAAAAGGGATCAGCTGCAAGCAGTAGATGCATAAAGTAACAACAATGAGAGCTAGAGGCCCTTTACCAAACAATAATCATTCACACCCAGTTGACATGATTTTTCCCAGGTCAGACCTGACCTCGATGAACAAGCCAGCCTGAGACCACTGGCAGGAGGAAGTGGATTTAACCAGAAACCAGAAGTTGTAGAGCCCTAACAAGACCTTTCGGGGTTTGGTTTTAAAAGGATCTATTTAAGTAAAAATCACTACACGAAACTCTCCTGCTTTTCCTTTTCCTGTAACTTCATAGCAAACAACACAGTAAACAACTCCAATGTTTACTGAGAAAGACAGTCAGTCATTACTGCAATAGCAGCATTTCCACCAGAGAAAAGGTCTTCTCAAAATTAAAAGCTAGCAACTGGGAATATTCTGGTTAGACACCTACATTTTCCTATTCCAGCACAAGTCAAACCATCTCACTGCCTTTCCCATGTGCATTTTCAGACATACCAACCTCTGCCTCCGGCACAGCCCAGCTGATGCTGCCACTTTAGAGGGGGACCCCCACGGTGCCAGGCACAGAGCTGTGGTGGGGGTTCACCCCCAGTCCTGGCCACAGGGGATGGCAGAGCAGGGCAGCTGCCCTGTGGTTCAGATGGGTTTCCCTCTCCAGCTGACCGTGCAGTGCAGTCATGGACCCAGGAGATCCAGTGCTATTCTCCAACTGTAAACACAGCTCTTCCCTGACCCTTCTCTGTCTTCCAGCCACACACCCTGGGGGTCTATAGCTTTATGATCATTTTAGTATATGGCATTTTCAGAAAAGTTTTATCTGGTACCCTAACTATACCATAAAGAAAACTTAAGTTTGAAACAGTTTGAAAAAAAAAAAAAATAGTACTACTGAAGGAAGCAACAAAATAAAATTTCAGAAGATCCTACAGATTTTATTTCCCACCCTAAGTTCTTTCCTGGAAAACGAGTAGAACTTACATAAGAGTTAACGTTTGTATTACTTTTAGCATTGTTTTCACTTTGTTGATCTGCTGAATACCACTCTCAACAAGCTTTTGCATTTATAAAACGAACAAACAAACAACAAAATCATGAGAAGAGATAAAGCAGCTATTTCCAAACCAAGCCTATGAGTGCAGTTTCCACAGTTCAAACAAACCAGTGCAGAAAACAATCAGCAGACACTGCTTGAGCTGAGAACACTCTGCAGAAATCCTGAGAGTGAAGTACACAGCTTCCCAGGAACTGCTCTTAAAAAGTTTTCCCACAGTAACTGTTAGAAAACATTACTAATTTTCTTTTCTGCTTGCAGCACATAAGGGCAAGTAGAATTAACTGTTTTCCTGATTTAATCTCTTTTATTTTAAATCAAATGTCCTTATGACCGGCACTTTCTGTTTTGGTTCTCTGTTTTCTTTTCTAAGAACCCAGAGCCACCAGGATCCTCATAGGTCTCTTTTGGGAACAAAGCACAACCACAGGGAGAACCACGCACAATCAGCTCCAGCTCGGGTGACAGCTTCTCACTGGAAGGGAGGAGAATTGCAAAGATTTCTACTGCAACCCTCCTGGCACATTACCCTTTATTTACAAATATGACAGGATGGCAATTTTAGAAAATGAGATATCAGCAAAACACGTTAAGGAGCTATGAGGAAAAAAAAAAAAAGAAGGTTAATTGGGTGTAGGAAAAATTATTTGGGAATTACATGAAGATGAAAATGCTCTAATAAATTTATTCTTTTACTTCTGTGGTCACTCACACTTATATAGAAGTGCACCATTTAATGAAGCTGTGGGGTTTTTGCATTCACACAAGCAATGCAAAAGCAGTACAGAACTGCATGAAAGCTGTCAGTCAGAGATGTGAAAAGCAGTGTCATGCACATGAGCAATTCACATTCTTCCTTATGGAGAAAATGTGAAACACTAATTATTTCCCTTCAGCCACAGACTTTAGTGCCTGGTTCTAAATGTCTACTTAAAAAGAGGAAACAGCAACATTTTCTAAGATAAAAGACTGGCTGGTAAAGCAGGACTTGTTAAAGAAGACAGTGTGAGTACCTCAAAAGTTGTTTGTGTCCAAAGGAAGCCCTTGCACCTCTTCTCTTCCCTACTCCACGCACCCGGAGCAGCCTCTCCAGCTCCCTGTTCATTCAGCTCCTCTTCCAGAGCCCTGCACAGGAGATGCAGAAGCCACTTGCATCCCACAGAAAAAAAGGCACAACAAGCTTCTCCCTTCTTTAAAGAACAATTGGATTTTCACTTTCGCTTCCTATGGAGCACAGGGCACCAGTGTTGCTGAGTAATGCAAATAAGGTAAATCCACATTGCTGTGTGGGACTCTGCAAGCTGGAAAGCATGAGGAAAAAAAAAAAAAAAATCACACGCCCCAGGAAACCTCTCAGGAGCCTGTTTATGGGTACCTGGGTAGTAAATCTGTCTCTCCATGTACTGCAACAGCGATGTGAATGGACTGGATTTGAGATCTGCTGCTCCATCTGCTACATGCCCTGCAAGGGGTCCCAGCACAGGAGAGGCGGCAGCACTAAACTGAGCTCAGCTTATTCCCTGGCAGGGAACTGTGTTAAAAGATACCCTCCCAAAACATGCGTGCTGCAGCAGCACTGATGCTATTTGACTGAATTTGTGCCTGTCACGTAATCTGGCATGAGCAGTCAGGATCAGAGGGAGGGCAGAAAGTCTGCACAGCCCTTGATAATTCAACAAAACCTCTCTAGGTCCCGGATTTTGCAATTTAGATGAAATAATGCTCACTGTCCTTGACAAAGCACTTTGAGATTAATGCTACACATATTTTCATTTTTCAGTGGGCCACTTTCATATTTGTTCTTTAATAGATAAAACGTTCTTTATTAGCTCTGACCAGGGAATGAGAGTTTCAAGGACCTGTTCTGCAGTATTACACACACTCTGTGGTCTGCTGTGCTTCAGCTTGTCTTCTCTGCAGATGAGGGCTGGGAGGAGGCCTCTTTAAACAGCACCTTCTTTATTTCCCATAGCTGGTACCTCTTCTTCAGGTAGGGCCTGCTCTGGCCTGGAATGATAACCTCTAGAAACTCTGGAGAAGTTAATTACTGACATCAGCAAGTCAGGGTGTGTATGAATCAGTTTCCAGGAGTGAAACTAGGTGATACAGCCACTTAGTCAGTCACAGGACTGCAATTTTTTCATTACAGTCTGCCACCCTGGCTCTCATCACAGTCCTTCTTTCTCAGATATTTTAAATATGGGAGAAAAGTACGAGTTCATAGGTGGGATTTTTCTGAAGGAAAAAAGGACGATTTCAGTATTCAGGTTGCTCAGAGGTGGATGCCAAAACGTATCACTGAATATGCAATAGACTTATTGTCTGTTGTGATGTGAACAGACTAGTAAAGAAGATTTGCTGTATATTGGAAATGTAGATTGGTTTCAGTATAATCCCGACTCTGACCAATTCTTGCCAAAAACAAATAAGAAATATGACCATATCCTCCACAGTTAACTCCAGGAAGGGATACATTTGTTTACCCTTGTAGACTTCAAATGATTTTCTATTCAGTTTACATTCAGTTATCTGAGGAACTGTATCATAGACAGGAAAAAAGGAGAACAATACATTCGTGCATCCAGCATCTTTAAAGCATGCAATCCCAACCATCAAAACAAAGTGCTCCGATGCATTATGAAGACCCAAGAAGCTTTAGCCTTAACAACATTGAAATAAGCATTTTGAGAACTAACCATAAATCAGGATATTTTTTAATATGACTGTGAGAATAAATAAATACACTTCAAATTAGAGATGAGAAGCAAATCTGAATGACAGCAAGGGACAAGAGGTGCTGTGCCTTCTGTCAGCTTTGTTGGGAGGACTAAGTTTGTGGATCCTTTTGCACTGATAGCTTCCTGACTGGTTCAAATGAATACAAAGTAGGAGAGAGACAGAAGAGGAAAAAAAAAAAAATTAACCATTCTGAAAGAGTTAAATTTCTAGGCTTAGTGACCCTGGCATGGGGCTAAGCATCTTCTCTGCTCAATCCATGGTCAGAACACATTTATACAAGAAAGGCCCCAGAATTTACCATGGGTGGGATTACATGTACACATATTATGGGGTATGGTTACAGCTCTCTTAAAACCCCTGGCAACAGATGTGTTTAACACTCATTAGCTACTGCTGGCGGGGTTGATTTGCTCAGCTCACCCCGAGCTGACCCATCACATGTTACACCTTTTCCTGACACAATCTGAAATTCGCCATTAAGAAAATAACTTGCCATTATAGAAGAAAAACAAGTCTGACAGGGCAGCCTTTAAGCTAATCAATTAAGAAAGAAACTAAAACCAACTCTGTGCATGTTGTTGACCTTGAGTGCATGGCACCAGATGTACTCTGACCTACAGATAAGGGAGGAATCGCCTCACAACACCTTTCTGACTCTGCACCTCTACCTAGGAGCAGGCAGAACTGTGACACTGATGTGAGCTTGAGGGGCTGTGATCTCCACCCATGTCCTGTCCCACGTACCACAGCCCACAGCCCCTCCGTTAGGAGACAACAGCCCTTTTGCACCTCCCCCCCTGCATCCATACCCACCATCTTTCTGTGGTGTATCATCTGTTGATCCCATTTCCAGGTTGCAAGTGGTCTCGAAGACAGCCAGAACAAAGGAAGGAGAGATGCACTGCAGCTCCCTACTTCTGAGTTGAATCCCCATATGTTTCAAGAACAAGTTTTCAACCATGTGCACAATTGCCCTCTGCTGCCCGTCTCAGATATGACCTTATGGAAACTGGAAGACAAGTGCACTTATCAGTGGTGGGTACAGAGCACTTCGCAGCTTTATCAGTCTTTTGGTTGCTCCAAGCAAGAGCAGTCCTTTAGCATTGCTCAGCTGCAAGGCACTCAGGATGAACCCTTTAACTCACCAGACAAAAATCAAATTTTTTACATTTCTGGGGGAAACAGTAATAGTTATTTCCAAACTCCACATCCCTGTCAAATGGACCACTGAGAAAAATAGTTGGCCATCACTGTTTCAATGTGTGACACAAACAGCACAGGGGAATAAGTTGTAGCTAAGGAACAAAGCAGCAAAGATACACACTGAGGTTTTTTGGACCTCTAGAAAGTTGAATGTTTTGTGGAATTGCTAACAGGACTAAACTTCTCACTCAAAGCCAGACTGTCTGAATAGCAGCTGTGTTCAAGTTCTAGTACAAGCTGTCAGTGCTAAAGATATAAATAGTTGGAGAATCTGACACAAATACTTATTTTTTCTTTTGCTTTGATTAATTTTTCACAGAAAGAGTTAGTTCCAAGTATAAAAATTTGGTAATACCCATTCACAGAAGAGGCACCTCAGATTAGCCACTTCCTAAGGGTCACAGAATTGAGATCCCTGGCCCTGTTTTCATGTGTTTTTTTCATTTTCAGCATTCCCTGTGAGTAATACCCACTTCTTCAAATGCCTGATTTCTACAAACATGAAATATAAATCTGGGGGAAACATATGCTACCTAACTTCAAATTTCCAGGAACAGGCAAAGAACTTCAATGTCCAAGAACTGTTTTGAGAAGTTTAGTTTAGTTTATATAGATAGAGCTTACTCTGCATCCTTTGACTATAAATTAAGTACATAAGAAATAGGAAATAATATTATTTTGTCTTAACTGAGGAATTTCCCCTTCTCTTACCCAGAAATATGCTTTAGGAATTTATTTTCCTTTGTGGGCTGCAGAACCTTCTTGTTTTGTGTTGGATGACGAGACCTTCTGAAAATAAGATCACAAACAACATGTCATTTATCTGCTAAACCATTTGTAAAACCTCTTGAGTACCTGTAACAGCTGATCATCAGCCTACTCCAGGATATGCACCAATTTTTATTTAAGGCAAAACTTTCAAGTTCGTTTTACAGTTTTGTCCTCAAAGCTCAACCAACTTACAGACAAATAACTTGATGGATGAAGGACAGAGAGTTATATTCTCTTTTACTGATGTTGCTACCATCAGGGTCCTTGTTAGACTGCATTTACACTGCAATATTACTAAAAACTCTATTCCTTAACGAGGCTTCATTTTGACTTCCAAGAGATAACCTCCAACACACACTTTCCTTCTGTGGCCAAGGAATCTTTTATTTTGATCCACCCTGACAGCACAAAATCCCTTTCCTTCAATGCAGAAATACCAGCCCAGAATATTAACATTAATTTTAGCCAGACCTTTACCCAGAAATTCAGCATGATAAATGAACCAGAAGACATAAGATGAAAAACCAGATACTATGAACACAGAACCTAGAGTTTTTCTTAGGTATATGCATGACTACAAGTAGCGTTTTGGGTGTCCATTCCTTTTTGCCTTTGAGAACTATTACCTGGGGGTTTTTATAGATCTTATTTCATGTTCTGGGAATCTGAGAGGGTAATAAGTCCCAGGGATCTATCCCAAGTCTCAGCATTAACAGTCATTGTCTCATTATATCATTAGTCTCAGTGTGTTTTGCCACCAGTTTTGGTTTCCAAATCTCACTTACACAACCCATTGTTTTTATGTTTGAGGGACTTCCCTGCTAGTCTGGTACATCAAGAAAACAACACATGAAGTAGTTTATGGCTGAAACATAAAAATGAGAATCATAATTGATTATAACAATCAATGTTGTAGCAATAAAGATAACTTATGATGATTCACCAGTCACGTATCATATACAGCTGCAAACACAAAGAAAGGTAAAGCTTTGGCTGACAAAGTTACCTTACAAAATTGAGTATACACAGTAAACTTTGTTCAGAAGAATTGTAACAGATGCTACTATGAAAATCAACAGTCTCTTATCTCTTGGTACTAGTGACTTACTACAGTAGAAATCAATGGAACTATCTAAAATATTGCTAGCAGAAAGACCTTTTGTAGGTTAGTCTAAGAGCCATGTTGTGAACTTTAGAGAGCTATTAATTTTCGTTAATATACTGAGCCTTTAAAACCTTTATTAAAAGTCCAGACTTCATCCCTGACACGAGTTCACTGCTTTGAAGAGAAACATAATGCTTGATTCTTCACCTAGTAAACAACTGAGCAAAGACTCACCAGATGCAGTCCCCTGAGGTTTCCATATCATCATACTAGCAATTTCCACCCTCCCAATTCTGTATCCCAGAGGTGCTGCATTGTTCAGCACTTACGGAACATCCATACTTGGAGACCCCCTTGTGCTAAACCCACCTGCAGACACCCCAGGAGGCAGTCCCATCCTTGAGGGTGATGCACTTGAATATAGACCAAGGATAAGAGCTGTTCTGGATCACAGTGGGCTGTGACCAGC